GAACACGACTGGACAAAAATTGTCAAGGGGAACCTTTACCTTTACCTAAGGTGTATTTGATGCATTTGGTGGGGCCACGGGAGAGGGCCTTCTCTGTCGCTGCTCCCAGACTTCGGAACTCCCTCCCACCGGAGACCAGCCTGGCCCCATCTTGGCTGTCCTTCGGCAAGCAGGCAAAGATTCAGGGAGACGTCCCTCCCCCCAGTGAGTGGCTTTTAAATGGAATGTTGTGCCTTAATAGCTTTTAATCTGTTTTTGATGTTGATTTTGTTTATTGTTTTCAGTGTGGCATTGATTTCATTCTTTTATATATATATTTGTTTATTTTTTTTATTGGATTTCTACCCCGCCCATCTAGACCAAAGGTCTACTCTGGGCGGTTTACAAATTTAAAAACAATAAAATCAAAAACATATAGACCCAAGGTGGCGAAAGTGTAAGAAATTAAGATATTTGTCTCCCCTTGGTGCTTCCTTGACAGGAGCTGAACTTGATGCTCCCTAAGGTCGTTTCCAGCTCTGCAGTTCTAAGATTATAATGATACTTAACGGTTTGCAGCTTTTAAATATTTCCTTTTATTGATGTAAGCTGCCTTGGGTCCGTTTTAAGGAGAAAGGCAGGGCAAAAATGTATTACGTAAAATAAATAAATAAATAAAAAAAGAACATTCGAACGGCGATTTTTTCACATTGTGCCACTCACCTGAGAAGTACATTTCTTCTGTTTTGTAAAGTTTTCACCCAGTACACTGATTTTCCACCGTGTCCATCCAGCACGGTGTCCACTCTGCGGGTCTTCAAATTCCAAATATGAACCAACCCGTTGGAAGATCTAAACAAACAAACAAACAAACAAAAGAGACACAGCGGAGAGGGAAAGCAAACAGCAATTTCTTTAACCACTATCTTAAATTTTAAAGCTTTACGTCCAAATGTATAAGAACTCCAAAGTTGTCCAGAGGAATCATAGAATGTAGAAGCTACTGATTGCCCAGTAACGTCAGATTTACTGAGCTTGTTGGAGAGTGCTGAGAACTGGGTAACCTATAAGAACTCCAAAGTTGTCCAGAGGAATCATACAATGTAGAAGCTACTGATTGCCCAGTAACATCAGATTTACTGAGCTGGTTGGAAAGCGCTGAGAACCGGGTAACCCACTGCAGAGCCAGAGGTTGTGAGTTTGATTCTCCTCTGTGGTTTTCAGGAGAAAAGCCAACCTGTGTAGCTTTGGGTGAGCTGCATCATTGCAGGCACCCCCGGAAGAAGGAACTGGTTGACCCCCCTTCTGAGTATCGTATAGACTCGAGTATAAGCCGACCCGAATATAAGCCGAGGAACCCAATTTTACCACAAAAAAACTGGGAAACTTATTGGAACCCAATTTTACCACAAAAAACTGGGAAAACTTATTGACTCGAGTATAAGCCGAGGGTGGAAGACGCAGCAGTTACTGGTAAATTTCAAAAATAAAAACAGATATCAATAAAATTACATTAATTGAGGCATCAGTAGGTTAAATGTTTTTGAAGATACTGCCCTTCTGAGCTGCGAGACACACTTCATTGCCTGCTGAGGGAGGACTCGTACCGGATGCTGTGCTTATCTACTGCTCTACTGCTGCGTAACAAGTTGGAGGGAGACGGAAGATGGAAGAAGAAGGTGGGAGGAGGAAGGTGGGTACATAGAATATGCAGAAGGAAGAGGATGGGAGTGTCCTGGAAGTGGAAATGCAGTGTACTTAACCTGGGTTGTTAGACCACCCACAGACGCTGCAGGCAGAGGAGCAGAGGAGTCCGGAGAACACCCGCACTGCAGGGGAGAACATGTAATTTTGACACTGACTCGGGAATAAGCCGAGGGAGGTGCTTTTTCAGCAAAAAAAAAATGTGCTGAAAAACTAGGCTTATACTCGAGTATATACAGAACTTTATACCTAGGGAGCCCTGGCAATATTGGTAGCCCTAAGTCAGAATCGACCTGATGACACATATTCAATGTTAGCTGGTGGTTTATTCACCGGGATATTTTCTTTTCCAACGTTCGTAAAACAGCAAAATCTTCTTTGAAAGGTAAGCTGTGTGCCAGGGAAAGTCCATAGAACCATACTTGGAAAAAGTTCTTGAAATGAGGCTGATCTGAATGTGCTTGCTTGGTTTCGCATATAAATGTGGTGTAACAGAACATTTACCGTATTTTTCGCTCCCATAAGACGCACCTCTCCTGTGTGCCAGGGAAAGTCCATAGAACCATACTTGGAAAAAGTTCTTGAAATGAGGCTGATCTGAATCAGCTTGCTTGGTTTCGTATATAAATGTGGTGTAACAGAACATTCCTGTTTTGTGGGAAAAAAGTGTATCTTATAGTGCGAAAAATACGGTATCTGACAGGGTTGTAGAACGTAGGGGTTCTGTGTGCAGAATCCTGACAAGTATCCCTGTGTTGCAACACTCTGTTGCAGGAGAGGCATTCTGCACACAACCGTAAAACAAAGAAAGGAGGAGAAAAACTCATATTAACAGAAAATAATGAAAACTGAGATTGTGAGCAGACCTTATTTTCCGTCAGATCACACACTCTATTGGTGGCCCAAAGGTCTGTCTAGCACAGACGGTGCTTGCTGCTATACTCACCCAGAGAAAAGAAGGGGCTGGTCCAAATTGGGGTCCCTACAATGAAAACACAGGCTGTTGACCGCATCGTTGGTTCCCCGTAGAACATACTGTGGGTCTGGCGGAGGAAGCGCCATGATGGCTGCGACGTATCAGAAGCCCCTGTAAGAGAAAATAACATCAGAGGGAAGATCAAATGGAGAAATAACCAGCTGCTGACATTGGCAGATGCAGATAAACTCAAAACAGCCGATTATCCCTGAATAAAGAGGCACCTCTGGCACCGATCTCCACTTTGTCCTCTTCCTTCTCTTTTGGAAAGGTAGCAGCTCGACCCTGCCGCTGCATGGCTCTCCATCATCCTTCACCTTGGGCTTCCAGATGTTCTTGCACTACGACTCCCAGAAATCCTGGCCAGCACAGACGGTGCTGAAGGCTTCTGAGAGTTCTAGTCCAAGAAGATCTGGGGACCCAAGGCTGGGAACCACCGGTCTACGGTGCAGGGCCCAGAGAAGGGTCTCCCATCCTCTGGTTGGGCAGGACCCATCAGGGACCTTCTTCCCCCTTTGGCTTTTCTGGAGGACCACTACCTTTCTCTGGGGTGGGCAGATGAAGCCGTAGGAACAGGATATAAGGGGCAGCGTTCTGGTTATCATCTCAGACACTGGGCGAGCTCAAGAGCCCCCATGGTCTTCAACCCAAAGGAAAAAGACACATGGATACAGCCAGGTAACAAGGGAATACCATTGGTTAATACTGATTTTATTGTCTGTTTTAATCTAATACAGTGGTGCCTCGCTAGAGGATGATAATCCGTTCCACTGAAATCGCTGCTTTGATGCTGTTTTGGTATTTGTGATTGCATGTTGTAATTTTGATTCTGATTTCTATAATAATAATAATAATAATAATAATAATAATAATAATAATAATAATAATAATAATAATTTATTGTCATTGTAAGTATATACACATACAATCAAATTCACAGACACCCAGAGACCAGACACATGCACACACATAAAATATCCCAAATACTCCCCACCCACTATAAGTCCCCCACTAAAAATACAAACATCTACACTGCAGGCCAAGTAACACAGTCCAACTAATTATTCACTGCTGGTGGTCTTTAAGCTCATTATTAATTGCAATTATAGCTCTGGGATAAAAACTATTGAGAAAACGTGTGGTCTGAGTCTTAATTGTTCTATATCTTCTGCCAGATGGTAACAGTTCAAAAAAGTTATAATGAAGTTATAACTTTTGTGTTCAATATACTGTATTTTTCCGTGCATAAGACTATACTTTTGTCTAAAATCTTTAGACTAAAAATTGAGGGTAGTCTTATACATGGAAGCAAACTGAGGACAGAACAAACACAAGTGGAGGGGAAAGCAGGGATCAAAGCGATCCTGCAGTGCATTGATCCCTCCCCCCCTACACTTGCTAAGCCCCACTTAGATTTCTTAATTTGAGGTTAGAAAAGTGGGGACGTCTTATACATGGGGTGTCTTATACACGGAAAAATACGGTAATTTTTAAGTGTTCACATTTTACTGTGTTGTAATGTAAACCACCTAGAGTGGCCTCGAAGCCAGATGGGTGGAATAGAAGTCAAATAAATAACAACAATATAATAATGCATGTTGCAAGTTAAATTCTTTCCACGCAACTGCTGCCACCCGGCCATCAATGATGGCTCTGTTTCTAGGTGTTTCTTCACCACCGTTTGAAGGCAAAAGGGATAAACTCCAAATCTGTGCCCAAATAATGAAGTCACACACAGATCGTTTCATACGAAAATATTTCAGTAAGTCTTCCAGCTTTTCCCAGATGTCCGTGCATGCCAGAATTTGATCTGGAATGTGCTCCAGTCCCCTAATGTATAAGATTATATTTACTGAGCAGTCTCGAGAGCTTTCACAGATATTGTTTTCCATATGAAGAAAGGATTGCCCAAACCACCCGAGTCTCAAACATCTCAGTTCCTGCATTCGTAACAAAATTTTCCTAAAAAGGCAAAGAGATAACATCATGACAGATGTCAATCATTACCAAAAGGGGGGGTATTTTTCACGGTTGGAAAAATGCAGATGTTTGAAGAAGCGGGTCCTCTTTTATTTTCCTGCTGGGTATAGTCAAGTAACCAAAAAAACCCAGTTTTCTGCTTAACTGTAACATGCCCACAAGGTCGTAAATCCAACCGACAACCCCAGAACGTATTTCAAATGATACTTCCAATCAGGATCATGATATCAACGTACCATGGGAAATTGAGATGATTTTTTGGCACAAATCCTTAAAAGTTACACGCATATATTCGGAGCGCTTGACTTCACACCCTCTTGAGTTACATTTTTTGATGGGCAGGATCAATTTCTATCTTTGGCTTTTATTGTCGTGGATTGAATCTTCACCTCCCCACTCGACGCGCATTGCGAAGCAAATTTTTACGAGCCACGCTGTTGTTCGCACGCAATAAGTTAAGGCAGCAAATCCAAGATGTTTTGATGTAATCCATGGTAGTTGTCAGTTTTTATGGTGCTGCCTGACACCCCTGATGGATAATCTTTTAAAAAAATTAATGATAATAACAACAAGGCTTCTCCCTCTTGGTGTCTGTGGCTTGCTTTATGGCTAGCGCTTTAACTCCATGACAAAAAATGAGTGTTCCAATTTTTAAGGCCCTTTGAGGTCCAGAATAGTGTCAATAGTACCCTTTTGAGTGGCCACGCGCTCATCTATTTTCCCTTTCTGTGACTCGTAAAGTGACTATTGTGAAAATACACCACAGGGAGCGGCTCTCTAAGCATGGCAGTTGAGAGAGAGAGAGAGAAAAAAAAATTAAGCAGTCCCCCGAGAGGCTACCTGGAAAGAAAAGCAAGGATTTAATAGAGTTTTCTTCTTCTTCTTCCTAATTAACAACACACAAGAGTTTTGCTGACAGATGTTAAATCTGTGTGTATGAAAGTGGGGAAGGCGATTAAGCTGGCATAAAACGGACGCTTCAAATACATGTCTTTACAAGGTCACTGAAGATTCTTAGGCATTGATCACAAGAGTGGTAGAAAAGGATGGTTGCAATTATATTCCAAATCCTTTTTGGACATACAAATCGAATATAGGTTTTCTTGCCAGGGAAAATAATGAAACAAATATGGATGGTAGAACACGTGTTTTTGTTCATTGCTTCAGATCTGTAACCTTCCCGTTGGTAATCTTAGATCGAGGGGGAGACCAATGAAGAAGTATTAAGATGAATGAAGAAAGACCAAGAAATGAAATTCAAACGAAATGCAGAAAATAGGCTTTTCTTTGTAGAAAAGCTGGAAGACATTTTAGATCATGCATCCTTCAGTCTCAAGAGACTATGGTAACACGCTCTGAACAGAGGACTTCCAACAGTGTTTAGTGTGGCCGAGGAGGTCAATACAAGAGTGACAATCCCTTCCATACTGAGGACAAATACAATCTGTTCCCTGTCCAGCTCCCTGGTTTTGCTGGTTTCGGGACTGCCTCTTTGCCTTGGCCTGCTGTACAAGTGTGTCTTCAAATTGGGAGAGGCCATGCTGTACCACTTGCCTCCAGGCTGAACGCTCAAATGTCAAGGTTTCCCATCTGTTGAGGTCCATTCCTAAGGCCTTCAGATCCCGCTTGAAGATGTCCTTGTATCGCAGCTGTGGTCTCCCTCTGGGGCGATTTCCCTGCGCTAATTCTCCATATAGGAGATCTTTTGGAATCCGATCATCAGTCATTCTCACGACGTGCCCAAGCCAACATAGACATCGCTGTTTCAGTAATGTATACATGCTAAAAATTCCAGCTCATCTAGGACTACTCTATTTGGAACTTTGTCCTGCCAGGTGATACCAAAAATGTATCGGAAGCAACGCGTATGGAAGGTGTTCAGCTTCCTCTCCTGCCGTGGTCCCATAGGGAGAAAAAAAAGTATGGGTTATTAGAGCTGTTCATTCAGTGACAGTGTCTGTGAAGCAACCAACATGAACTTGACACAACTACAGGAGGCAGTGGAAGACAGGAGGGCCTGGCGTGCTCTGGTCCATGGGGTCACGAAGAGTCGGACACGACTAAACAACGATGACGATTCAGTGCAAAGTAAATGGGAAAAGAAGGGGGGGATTATCAACTGAAACACTTTGGAGACTGGTTTCAAAGCAACACAGCATCATTGTTGGAAGATGCGATGTCCAAAGTCAGAGTCACCAAGATGACATGCAACCTCTGGTAGTAGAAGAATGAGTTGCAACAGCAGAAATGTCTTCCCCTTATTGGAAAGTCAATTTTCGACCTTAAAAGGGGTACATGGTATCTCCTTCATTTTAAATATTCAAGGACGGCTCTACCATTGGGCAGAGCGAGGAGACTGCCATGGGTAGAAGTTTCCCAAGGTGTTCCTCCTCAGCCCCAGGCCATTGTCTGCACAGCTTGACCTGGGTCTCTTAAACTAGCCAGGTGATTCAGGCAGAGGTACAGGGTAATATTCTGCACCAGCACTAAAATGTAAGGTTCATCTCTAAACTTGGTTCTACACACTCTGCGGAGGGAAGCACAATCTCGTCCTTTCCCTCTGGCAGCCAAGTTTCTTGGGGCGGTGTTATGTACAGTGGTGCCTCGCATTACGACGTTAATTCGTTCCAGTGAAATCGCTGCAGAACAGAAACGTCGTAAAGCGAAAATTAAAAAGCCATTGAAACGCATTAAAACCTGGTTAATGCGTTCCAATCGGCTAAGAACTCACCGTCCAGTGAAGATCCTCCATAGGGGTGGCCATTTTCAGGTGCCTGTGCAGCGAAAAATGGCTCCTAAACACAGCGGGGAGCCATTCTGAGCACCCGGTGGCCATTTTGAAAACCCGACAATCAGCTGTTTTGATTGTCTTAAAGCGAAAATTGGTTCCCGAAACAGGGAACCAATCAGCGCAGCGAAATTCCCCCATTCAAAACGTCGTTTTGCAATCGCTTTTGGGATCGCAAAAACTCGTCGTAGTGCGGATTCGCCGTTAAATGGAGTGACCGTTTTGCGAGGCACCACTGTACAATGAACCGAAGATGCACGAGGAAAAATATTACTACCTTACTTGCGATGTCATCTTCACAGCACAGACAAACCCAGCAACAACGTTTTTCTTTAACTGTATT